ACCCACAAGCCATAGTACATGTGTGGAGGTCAGAGAACAAATTTTTGGAGTCAGTTCTTTCCTTGTACCTTGGGGCATAGGGACTGAGCTCAGGTCATCAGGCCTGGACTACATGTGCCTTTTGCCCAGTGAGCTGCTACCTTGTCAGTCTTTGACCAAATTCTTTAACTCTGAATATGAAGACAGGCTAGAATATGGCCCTGTCTTCATCAACAGCTTCTTTCATTAATACTTTTCAGTGGAAATCTATTTCCAGTGCTGATGCCGTGCACTTTCCACGTACAAACGTAAAGCCAGTTCATCCCACTTGTCACACACTTTGGCTGTGACATTTACAGCTGCAGTGGAGTCAACAAATCTAGTGAGAATTACGGTTTTCTTCTCCACCATTTCAGAGAGCAGGAATTCTTAGCCTCTGTCTCAGCAACCTCAGCACACAATCTTTTTCTTAGTTCAGGATTCTTCACCATAGGGTGAGAGAAATGGCCCAGCGGTTAAGAGCACAGTCAGAGAGCCTCCAGAGTGCCTGGGCTGAATTCCCAGAACCCACACGGTGGCTCTGATAGGATGCCACTCCATCCTAGGGGATCTGATGCCATCGTTTAGTCTTCATGCATGTAAGTGGTGTACAGACATACATACAGGCAAAGCACACGAGTGCACAAAATAAAGTTGAAATTAATTTTTTCACCTTTTTGTATTTAAAAATAATGAGATACATTTATAGTCAGTGGTCTATTAATAGCCTTTAGAGTCCACCCTCAGTACTAAATATCTAAAACCTTGCCTAAGAATTTTCATGCAGCTAAAACTAGAAATAGGATCGCAAGAAAAAAATAGAGAAATTGGAGAGAGGGCGAGGATAATAAAATGCATGCGCCCTGAACACAGAGGTGGTAACTGGAGGAAAGAAGGGAGTGCCCAGTTCTTTCCTTCCACCTTCGGAGCAGACGATCAAAGTTACAGGGTTTGGAGTGGTGCATAAAGAAGGGAGTGGGGGGGGGGCAACAAAAACAAAAAAGATGAAAACCAGTATCGTGTATGCTAAATGAAATAATAATTTTTAAAATGGAAGAAGTCTCACCAGACGACGAAGGCTCCCACCTTTAGTTGAAGGCCAGCCTGGTCTACAAAGAGAGTTCTAGGACAGCCAGGGCTACACAGAGAACCCCTGTTTGGGGGGGGGGGGGTAAAAAAGGCATAAGTCTCATAAGGTTAGGCAGTTGGGTTCCAGCTTATAATTTCAGCACCTGGAGCAGTTAGGAGGTTGAGGTAGAAGGATTTTTTGAGTTCCTGGACAAGCTGACAGCCTGCATGCCTGCATCACAGAATGAGATCCCTTTTAAATAATAAAAATATTCTCGGACAATCTGCAACCCCAACACTCAGAAGGCTTAGATAGAAGGATCACCCCATAGTGAGTTTCTGGCCAGCGTGGGCCGGAGAGTGAAATGATCCTGGCTCAAAAAAAAAAATTTTTTTTTTCATATGCTACCTTTCTTTCGAAAGGATCCAGCATGAGTAAAGTCAGAAGGGAACATTGAAAATGTAAAGGAGGAAAACAAAGATTATCATATAAATCTGGATGTGAATACACGGAGTCCACAGCAAAGAAAATGGGCTGCGGAAACAGCCCGAGGCTTCACCAGCCCAGCGAAGTTGCTAATAATTCTTGCCCTGGGTATTGTGAAGGACCACCGCCCTCGAGACTAAGCGACTTACTAGTGGAGACTACTATTCTCATCCACCTTCATCATCGTCGCTTGAATCAAGAGGCGGCTGAAAGCGGTTAAAAAAAAATCTTGGGTTCAGGGAGCTTCCTCTGAGTTGAGCTCAAGTTTGTGGACGGAACTGAGAATCTCAAGCTCCGCAGACGCAAAATCAAAAACAAAAAGGGCGGGAGCTCTTTTTCTTTCTTTCTTTTTTCTTTCTTTTTCTTCTTAATAAACCGGCGGCAGAGTACGTGTAAATACATATTTAATGTCTCACAAAGTGCTTATAGTAAGGAATCCTCCCATTGGTTTCTCGCACTTGGCACATTTGGAGAGCGAGGTTACGAACTCCTTATGGCTGCTTTGTAGACGCTGGCCCAGAAGGCCCACTGAATGGTTTATGGGTTTTTCTCCAAATGCCTGGACAGGCCTGCACCCCTCACCACCACTTCTTTTTCCTTTCCCTCCCTCCCCTTTCTGGGATCATTTGCCTGTTTTCTTCCTCCACAGGTCTCCTAAGGAGAAAATCTCCAAGGATTTTCTCTGGGAAAGCACCTTGGCGTTTGTTAACGCCAAGGGCTGCACGCACTGGAGTCCTCCGCGGCGGCGGTTCTTTAACTATCTTGTGAAAGGTTTTGTACAGACACGTAAAATTTTCATTTCTGAGTATGTAACTTGAAGTAAAAACGATCTGATTTTTTAAAAATATAATTTAAGGAATGTGAAGTTGGGAATTAGAAGAGTTTCTTTTTTCTTTTTCTTTTTTCTTTTTAAGAGACGATCTCACGAAGCACAGACGTTGAACCCAATATTTAGCTGAGGATGGTCTTGAACTTGGGAATATCCTCCCTCTGCCTCTCAAATATTGGAATTACAGACATTCACTACCACACCAGACCTATTCAGAAGACTCGTGAATTGGCCTCTTCAGATCCAATTATCTAAATGCCTGGGGAAGTTTAGAGCTAAATTTTATTTGTATATAGAATCTATAAAGTGTAATAAATATTTTTGGCCTTTTTAAAAAAGAATCTCTAGCTAAAAGATATATTTTAGGGATTTTGTCTAGCATATGAGAACTGTTCGCTGGGACCATTATTTAGTATAGTAAGGGTTACTTTACCATAAGCACTGAATCATTACAACAATCTAATAAAGCAAATACTACTCATCCTGTAGGCAGATGTAGTGCATGTTCCACAAGAGGAGAATTTACGTCCCAGAACGGGTGGCCAGCAGCAGTGCAAAGTGTCCTCAATACCCTGAGTAACACAGATCATGAGTTGTTTTGGAAATTTCAACAGGATGTGTTCCTGCTGGAGATGGCCAAAGGTAACTAAAGGCAAGGAAAACAGACATGGGGTGCCTGAGGGCAGGCACGATCCACTCAGAGCCTGCACTATTAATTTCTCACCTAGTTTCTGTGCAAACTGAAGCCTTAGCTTAAAAACTCGGCACAATGGATCCCAAATCTCCCGTTCAGAGTGATTCAGATAAAGCTCTGGTAGGAAAGGAAGGGGGCCTAGACTGAAGCAGAGACTCAGATCTAGATTTGAAGCCCCCCCCCAACGCTCGCGCTCTCTCTCTCTCTCTCTCTCTCTCTCTCTCTCTCTCTCTCTCTCTCTCTCATCCTTATTTACAGCGTTGAATTAAGGCATAAGTTATTAAGTGAAGATTTTTGTAGTGAAACTTCAAAGTTCCGTGGCCTCCTGTGAAAGAAGGGCTCTTGTTTGTGTTTAAGGGAAAAAAGTGAAAATGCTAATAAAAATGACTGTTAAACGTGGGGTAAATCGTGCTGGTGCCAAACACGGGGACCACAATTATACAGTATTTTAATATTAAGATTATGAACACGCCTCGAAGCACTTGCGCACATCTTTTGGAAAATTATACAAAAAATTATACAGCCCTTTAAAATTTGACGTGCCATTTTCTAGACTGGGGGGGGGGTGTAAAATAGTCCCAGAAAAGGGGAGGAGGCACGGGAAGGACGAAGAGAGAGGCGCAGTACTTTCGCGAGCCATTAGTTTCCATACTCCGAAATCGGAATTAGGCGCGCTTTTGATATAAGGGAAAATGTAGAGCAAGTTGGAAAGTAAAATTATACAGTATTTAAATATTAAGGATATTAACACACCTCGAAGCACTTGCACACATCTTTTGTAATTATACAGCCCTTTAAAATTTAACTCGCCATTTTCTAGCGGGGGGGGGGGGGGCACCAAACCCCCCGCAAGGGGGAGGGGAAGAGGCGGGAAGCGCGAAGGGAGAAGCATTCTCGCGCCTCTAGAGTTTCCATACTCCGGAATTAGAATTAGGCGTGCTTTCGGTGTAAGCGAAAACACAGAGCAAGGTTCTGTAATGCATCCTGAACTAAGAGACAGAGCAACTTGGCTCCGCAAAGGTGCCAACCGCCAGGAACCGAAGAATGGGTTCCGCTATCATTCTTGGGCGCACTAAGTATTTGGCAGATTTCTTTATGCCGTCTGGTGCGGGTTCATTTCTAAAAACTACGAAGCTCTGAAAACATTAGAACAGGGGAATAGGGTTTTCTTGACGCGCACAGTCACCACCCCGGAATTCGCTGCAAGCTCCTCTGCTATGCTATGCTATGCTCAGAGAAAGTTTCGTGAACTCCGATTTTAGATCCATCTCAAACAGGCTCAAGCCTAAACATAGGTCCAATTCACCGACTCAAGGTGAGAGCAGTACGAAATGAAAAAGTCCTAGTCCTTAGTCACCGAGCCCTTGGAAAGAGGGTCGAGACGAGTGCCCAACGCCAGAAAACGGATGCATTTTGTTAGAATGCCTGTTCGCAATTCCTATGTCAATATCTTTTCCTTTTGGGAGGTAAACACCAAGGGGCCAGTGCATGTTTCAGAACATTGAAAATGGAGTTTGGAACATTGGGTAAATACTTCGGGTTTTACGAGCTGACGCGAGCTCGGAGATGCGAGCTCGTAGCCGTTAAAATGGTATTCACAACCCTGGCCAATCCCTTCCTGCCCCCTGGGACACCCCTATGGAGTTTAGAAGTTAGTTAACCGCAAATAGAAACCTGTCTCCGCGCGGAGTAAGCTCAGTGTCTGACCGGCACTAAAAAGAAATGCGCGCCTAGTTACCAGCGCACCCCCTGCAGGTTCCACCCACTCCTAATAGACGTACTCCTGTATCTTACGGGATCTGTCCAGTGGAAGCACACCACCACGTAAAATATGATCCCTACGCGCCGGCCACTCTATAAAAGGGGAGTCACTCCCGGATGAGCGCCACTCTGCTCCGGGAAAGCCTGCAGGTACCACCTCCAGCCTAGGTCTCCGCAGTGTCTCAGACGCCGGCAACTCAACCCGCCCGCCCCTCTCCAGCCATGGAACCTCACAGCAAGTGTGGCTGCGACTTCTGCACTAACTTCGGCAACTCCGGAGGACCAGTGAAGGAGGAAACATTTCAAGGTTAGTCCTCCTCGCTGAGAACTTTATTGCGCGCGCAAACTGACGAGCGCCTTGAAGCTCGACAACCTTCGAGATCGCCTTGACTCCTCACTCGTCCTGCCCTAGCACCCCGGGCTTCAACGCCCCGGTTTTTCTTTTCTGCTTTCTTTCTTCCCCAGATTCACAGCCTAGCTTAAGTTCAACAATTTTGGCGGGCGCAGACTACGGGGGAAATAGAGAATTCGATACAAGTTCCTACTCCAGTTTTGGAGCTGGCCAGAAGGAGGAAGACTTCTGCCGCGACCTGGGTAGATAACACTGCAACTCCTAGAGCAAACTTAATTCGGGCTCAGCCCAGGTTCAGGGAGGTGCGCGCTGCGCAGGGGTGGGAATCGGGAGGCGCGGTAGGGAGGCGCGCGACTGGTGCGGTCATCGCCGCCCCCTAGAGAGAGCCCTTGGCCTTTCCCGCGCGCGTGTGGCTTGAGCGCAAACGCTCTGGTCTGTTTGTGTTTTTCCCCTCCCCCAGACTCTCAGAACATCTTTGCCTCGACGTTTCTGGAAGAAACAAACTACCAGGAAAACGAGGGACTCAAACCCGCTAGTGAAGAACCAACCCTCCCTTTTGAAGAAACACCGCCAGCCTGGGAGGGGTTCGAAGCCCTTGAGTTTCAAGGCGGCTTCCTGGAGGCCAACTCTCAGCCGGAGGAGAAGGCTGCCGCCCCCGAGCCGCAGCCCCAGCTGCAACCCTTGCCGCTGACCCCGCTGAAGACCCCGATGCAAGCGCTGGGACAACCCCTGTCGCTGCCCCCGCCGCAGCCCCCGCTGCT